GCCCCAGAAATATTCCTCCAAGCAAAGAGCCCCTTCAGGGGCTTATAACAACTTTAGAGAAAATTACAAAGCATTGTGAAAGTATATACTGGAATATGTAAGGTTCATAAAGGGGCAGGATATGCTTAACTTGGTGGTATTCTTAAAATCTGGCGTGATGGGGATGCTGATAATTTTAGGATTTTTAGGATCTTTTCCCCCATTTGGTTGTGCGGCGGATCAGGTCCTTAATGTGGGAGCACAGCCTCCCGATGGAAAGCCACCCCACTGAACTTGGATGGAGCTAGGTTGGCGGCTCACGCAGTGCCGAAAGAGGCCAAAAGAGGCAGTCCATTTTCGTCAAATCGACATGGGCTAATTTATATCTATAGATGCCAGTTTTGAAGTAATGACTGTAATTGAAAGAGAATTGCAATGCAATGCACTCAAGTGGGGGGAAATGGGACCCCATCCTGGCTGTGCCTGCCAATGTCCGGTTGGTAACGGGATGAACTGTTTTAAGGCCGCCAAGCCTTGCAGCCGAGGCATTCTCAAACGAAGGTCTCTCCTCCACCCGTCCTCCGAAGAGAGGACTGCCCTCCACAAAGTGGCACGGATTCCCACGCCACTATTTGTGCCCCCTAGCAGCAAACAGTACAGGACCCTCGCCCCTTCCAGGTGTGCCTGAACACACTCCCGCACATCTCTGGGCATGCTGGCTGGGGGTGATAGGACTTGCAGTCCAACACATCCAGCAGGGCAATGTTGCTCTGCAGAAACCTGTTTCTTCTGTTTTACAGACTTGGGAATTAAAAGGCCGGGATTTTTCTGGTTGCCTGGGGGGTTGCAGAGGAGAAAGAACTGAAAGACAATTTTGCAGCAGTCCTGTTTTTTGTTTTTTTTTCCCCTGATCTGTCCAGTTTGATTGACCCAGGCTTTCAGGTCCCACTGCCTTCCCAAGAAATTAAGAGTACATTAAAATAGAACAATTACAATGTGTTACTAAGACCATGAATAAAAACCCAGGTAAGATTTTTTTATAACAAGCCATGTTTTTATTTTACATCAACCTACTGCAGACCGGAATTAAAAGTCTTTCACACATTCGTAAACCATATATGTCTCTCCTGGACAGGGAGTTCCAAATGTGGTGGGGCTGCCACTGAGAAGGCCAAGCTGCTAGTCCCTAAGAGGTTTTTGTCTCATGTTCAGACAGAAGAAAAGTCCTGCTACTGCCACCACGCTCCACCCAGCAGTGCAGAGGTTTGTTAACAGAAACATACTTGGTACATGAGAAAGCAAGGGAGCGATGTGTAATATTTTCAATTTGTGTAAGAATTGTCAATGGCATGCACCTTCTAAAGCAAGATGTGCAACTTGCATTTCCTTTCTTTCAAAGCTGTAATCTTCTTTTTCACATGAATATTAGAAGTTACTTTAATGAATATTCCAGTTATTTCAATGAGTACGAATCAATGGGAAAAATTGCACAATTAATCAGCAGAGGTTTTCCACTGACAGCTCTGGGAAATAAGTAGCTGTGTCAAGAAGCAGCTTGCCTTTTCCTTCGGGAATTCACATAGTTGGTGGTGTTACTGTGGCAGATTGCCCTGGGCGGGTGGAAGGAAAGGTTTTTTCCTGGATTAAAAGAAAGATTTGCATCTCTGAGGCAAGTATTTCCAGAGATTGTCCAACTCAAGACATCTGCAGAGTTTGGCATCTTGCTCCCTGTTTCCTTAGCCTCTTTTCCAAACATCAGTGCTAAAAAGCCCTGTAAAAATGAGCAGAAAGGCGAGGGCAAGAGAGATCAAACAGCTCTCTCCCCTGTGACTTTCTCCTCTTCCTTGTCCTTTCATTTCCTTGGGAAAATGTGTGTGAAGAAAGAGTTATTGCTTGCTCTGCCTGGCAAATGATCCCTTGAAAATACCTCTACGCAGTATGAGAGTAAAGCATTCAAACACAAACCTCTCCTGTTGGATAATTTTAGTTTCTTGGAGGAATGGGGGTAAAGATTGCTGTTCTCTACAGGGAAAGTCTAATTTCAGTTAAAATAGCACTTGAAGAAGGCTTCCCCAGTGTGATGCTTTTCCTGTGTTATATATTGCAAATCCCAGGCTACATGGCCCTTAGAGATGAAAAGAGGGGCTTTTGTATTCCTCTGCCTTTCCCTGGAATTTGCTCTGGAACACCTAAGCTGCAGGCATGACGGAAGCACATGCTCTGTCCCATGGGTAGAAAATGCACTGTAGAACAGAACATTAGAAGAGAATCCTAAAAAAATATCCAGGGCGACCGATAAGCACAAGTAAGGCTTATGCTTATGAGATACCCAAATGCTTTCCTTCTTTCTGCACCCCCATATAAAACTATGGGTCCTTTTAGGGCAGATGTTCCTCACAGCCTGGTCCATGTGTCTGAGGACACAGTCCCCAGATATACCTGTTGGAATATCCTCTACAAAAGCTTGGCCCAACCTGTCTCTTAACACAAGTGCTAGATTACACTTCCCACCAACCACAGCCATGGTCTTGTTTTTTAGTGGGACACCCCCCCCCCCCCCGAAAATACTCCAGGTAGGATGCTCATCCCTCTTGGGAGGCTGCTGGCATTCGGTGGGTGGGGAGAGATCGAAAACCCAAAGGGGGACAAACCATTCTGGAGCAGAGTGTGGGATTCTGAACAGGAGGTGCCCATGCTGGAATATTTTGTTGTCGTTCCTATTCGTCCAACTGAAATCTTCATTTCTCCCTTCCACAGGAGGAGAGACCAGCCTTTGCCAGGTGGTCCTGCAGCCCCATCCCCTGAGCTTCCTGCCACACGTGGAGCAATAATCACATTTCTGCACCTGACCTCTAGGAAGCAAGCTTGGAGCTGGGAGATCTGTGCTTCATGGCAGAGCAATGCCGGTCCGAAGGGGAACCTACCCTGAAAGGTAAGCTGACTCACTCGAACTGGGCTTCTGTGTGCGGCGGAATGAGACACACACAAAGCGAATAGTAAAGGAGGTGCTGTTGCTTCAGCGCTTTCCATGTTATTTCAAAAGGAAACTCCCTGCAAGTAAACATCTAGCATGCCAGAGGAAAACCTCCAGCTAGCAAGTCTGTCTCTCGATTTGCAGGGCCCTCTAACACTCGCAGTTGTCACTCCTCCGATATCCATTTTATTAACTCCTCCAGATCTTGGAAATGGCCATCTGAATTCATCCAGCTCCCTCCCACACACAAATTAACCTAATTAGAATAGGAGAGGGCCATCGGGATGTGTTGAGCCATTAAGCCTGCACGAAGGCTGGAATCGTAAACAAGCTTAATGGGGAAGGAGCCCAATTCCGGAGGAGCAGAACTTCAGTCTTCCTGGGGTTCCCTGGGTGGCTGAACCCCTTCCAAGGTGGACATGCCCCCCGTCTGTTACTTTGCTAGCTTTTCCTCAGGGGCTCAGGCCTTCCTCGTGGCCAAGTCTCCTCCTTTGCATGTAGAATAGAAGGGCTCCAATTTAATGTGAGGCCAAGGCCCCTCCAAAGACCTGCAGTCTCCCCCCCCCCCCGATCCTTACCCCCAGCAAGCCTATAGCCATGAGACTTACTCCCAGGTAAGCATGCAGAGGATTTCTGCCACCTCATGCTCCTTTGCAGAATCCAAAGTCGTCCGCAGTCCCATCGTAATGCTGATCTATATTATTTATTGCAATACTACATTTATGTCCTTTTTAGCTCTTGTGAGGAATCCGGGTCCTCAGCTCCATTTTATCCTCTCAACCCTGTGAGGTGGGTGAGGCTGATCACTGACTGGCCCAAAGCCCCCCCCCCCCCCCATCCCCCCGGAGCTTCGTGCCTGATCCAGAGTCAGCGCCCTCACTCTAGGTGCCAATCCGAACTTCGAAGGTGCTGAACTGCAGCCCCGAAACAGTCCCCCCCCGCAAAAAAAAAGTATGGCACCTTAAAGGTGGGAACTGTGACCCAGAGGGGCCCCTTACCCATGGCGGCTTTTGCCCCGAGCTTCACCGCAGCTATCCATGGTGCTGAACCGCCAAGGTCAGCGGGGCAGGGTCTCGGGCTCGAGCGCGCTCCTGAACTTGGCAGGGGTGGCCCGTGACGCGCGACCGATGCCCAAGCGGCCCCGGAAAAGTTCGGGCCGCCACCTTCGCCTCGCCCGCGCTTGGAGCGGCAGCGAAGGAGCGCGCCGCGCCGCTGGCACCCACCCGCCGCGCCGGCCCCCGGCAGCTTGTTTTGCCAGGAAGAGGGGAAACGCGCCTTCTCCCCCCCCCCCGCTTCTCTTCTCTTCCTGAAACCTTCGCTCCCCGGAAAGGTGGTTCGGCTCTCCTACCCCGACCCAGACCAGCCTTGCGCCTGGGTTGGCCGGCGGGCGCCCTCGCTCCCCGCCTCCCTCGCTCCCCCCACCAAAACCCCCTTTCTTCTCTGTATCTAGGCTCTCACTGCGCACGTGGAAACGCGCCCCTTCCTCCTCCTCCAGCTGCCGCGCTCTTTGCAACGCTCAAAATCTGTAATTTTCAGAGAGGGTTTATTTTCGGCCACCAGCTTTACACGGATCCGCTCGCCTGTTTGGAAATTCTGGTTTATTTAAAGCAGCAGCCTCACTTTGACGGAAGAAGCCAGCCAAGCCGCGGGGACAGGGCGCCCCATACCCTTCTTCTGTGGGGAGTATCTCTGACGCCCGGGGGGCCTGCAGGGCGCGCACCCCACGGAGAGGAGTAGGTCTCCGGGCGCGCAGGCTTGGCCCGGAGGGCATCTTTCGGTCTGTCCTTCCTCGCGTGCCCCGATGGGCTCCCGGCTTCGGTGGCGGCGGCTGGGCGCGCTGCTGAGCCGGGGGGCTTGACAAGGGCCCTCGCTGAACTTCCCACGGCGGTGCCAGCGCAGCGAGAAAGCGAGCAAGCAGGACGGTTTCTCGAGCATGGCCCCGTCACGCCAGCGCGCCCCGCTCCGGATTCGCAGGGGCAGCCGCCCCCGGATTGGGATCTGGCCACGCGTCCTCGCCTGAACGGACTTGGGAGACGCTGCTCGGAAGATGGGAGTTCTCCTGCGGATCTGGCCGCCTCTGCTGCTGCTCCTCTGCGCCCCGCAGCACACCTGTGCCAGGTGAGAAGCGAGAAGAGCCGGGGAAGGATGCGCACCGGAAAGCTGGGCATAAAGGCCGGGGGGCTAGTGGCGCTGAGCGCAAGGGAAACTTATCTGCGTGTGCCTTGCTTTGGGGAGCGATCCGAGAGGAGCTTACTCTCAGGGAGACTGACATGGGATTGGGGCTGCTCCTCCGTAAACCCTCCGTAGGCAGCTTCCAGCGCAGACCCGAGGCTGTGTTTACTCCGGCTCGGATCAAGATTTCTTCCTTCCTTGGTCGGAGCTGAGGTGCCCGGGCAGGGGTCTTATTTCTCTGGAAGTTAGCATCGGGGTCAGCAGGTCTGGTTTCTTTGCCCCTGAAATATCCCTTTTCCTGCGCCGGAGAATCGTCCTATCATGGGCCACCCCGACTATGAGTCCTTATTTGTGAGTGTTTGCATTTCACAGACAGGCAGACAAACCTGTGTGAGTTTAGGGGTAAGAATTTCACTTCCTGGCAGAAAGGCACTTTAAAAATTCAGGACCCAGCCCCACCAGACTCATCCACACATGCAGATTTATATGCAAGTTCGCAAGTCATTCCTACATATTTGTTTATATTTTTCAAGATGCAAAGCCAGGTCATTATCCAAATCATCCAGCTTTACCCAAACCTCAGATCTGATGATGATAATAACCTAACTGTAGTAATTCTTCAATTAATTTGTGCCCTGACCCAGATCCAGATCATCCCAAATCAACAGGAAGAGTTTTTTCCTCTCTGCTTAATTGCTATGCGGGGGGGGGGGGGGTGAAAGGATGGGGAGAGGCAGCATCCACAGTCTCAACCCTTTTGAAGACTTCCCCCATGTGGCAGGTTAGAGGGGCAAAAGTAATAGATCCAAGGCCCTGGAAAATAGGTTTGGGGTCAGAGAGCCCCACGGGGCCAGGCCTAGCAATGCCCTGGGACCAGATTGCATCCTGGCTCTTAGCCCAACCCCAGGTTTTGCTGGTATTCGTGTGTCTGTGAGTTGTTTACATACACACAGTTGGTAACTGCTCACTCATTTGCAAGTTTTGGCTTCATGGGAGTATGAATGCAGACCAAAGATCCCACACAAGGTGGTTTGCCAGTGAAAGTATGAAGTCCAAAATGGGGGAAAATTGGGGCTTTACTCAGCTCTACCCCACCTGGTGGAGAGTTTTTATTGGTCAAACTGGATTTGAAGATGGGGCTTGCAGCTCCTGAGTCATGATACTGTCCTGAGTCTTTCCAAGGGCAGCGAATAAAGAAAAGAAGCTAGGAAGATTATAACATTTGTTTTTCTAGCGATCCAGCCTCTTCCGTTTGGGCATCCTTGGAGGACTAAGCCAGGGGATGCATGCTGCTTTAAGGGAGAGATTGGCATGGGTCATGAAGTCTTTTTTGACCTACAATGTTCTTTTGGCAATGGGCTTTTTCGGGTGGTGGGGAAGCCTTCTCCATAGGTTCCCCAGCCGTTGGGGTGACCAGATGCCAAAGGAGGAAGGGTTTCTCTCCCTTTCCAGGCGGTGACACCGTATGCAGCATTTTCCTTAGACCTCCCTTCAGTTTGATGGCAGTTTGATTCTGAATAAACCTAAACAGGACTGAGGCCTTCTATTGATCATGAAATTTCAGTACAATGAGCTAACAGCGAAGCTAATAATAGGTCTTATCTAGGAGCACCGATTCTGTTGCATTCATTAGGGGATTGCCATGGCAAATCCTTTTGCAAGTTCCTAGAGATGGGACATAACTGTTCCACTTTAAACGTAGCAATATTTATACGCTAGCTCCCTTTCCTTTCTGAATTTCACTGAGTCTTTTATGTTATAAGTGGTCCATATTTTGCATCTCCAGCTATATGCGACTTCTTAAAAGCATTTTTTAAAAGCTGTGCATCTGTGAATCAGCCTGTACACATGCTGATCAGGAAGATATTTGTATGATGGGATGTGGAAAAAAGGTCAAAAGATTAGTGGGCAGCTTGAACAAAATAGAAGCACAGGATTTCAGTGTCGAGAGACCTGACTGGTTATTTAATCCAATCGCCTGCTCAGTGTAGGTTTCTTGATGTTGCAACTTCAGTGTCAGGCGGCCATCCAGGGCATCTTTATCTCTGGCGGAGGAGGTTGTCTTGAGGTTGTGTCTCATGGGTGTGTGTGTGAGAGAAATGCACACATGCACATCGACAGATTATGTTGTGGGGTTTTCCTATCTCCAGTTATGGCTCTGACTCCAGAAGCAGTTCACTAGTTAACAGCCATTGTATTAAGATCCAGAGCATGCAGGAAGCCATCTGATGGGACAGCGGAAACACAGGGGTGTGGAACGGTTGTCCATGCATCTTTAAGCAGCCCCAGAGCCTGGGGCCTGGCATGGGAGAGTGTTTTTCCATGGGGGTGGGAGAAAGTATCAATACAGGTATGTGTTTCGGCAGCTACGGGTTTGTAAATGAGGGGAAGGGAGTCCTGAGTGGGTTTTTATCCACCTACCCCCTTAAATGATCAGAGGAGGAGACCAGGGCCTGGTGTTGGAAGCACCATTTCAGGGCTGGCTTATAAGGCAACGTGAAGCTGTTGCTTCAGGCGGCAGAGACCAGAGGTGACCAGGAGATGCTGCAAGGGGAGCTGCACCCGCTCAGCTAGCCAGGTGCCTTCCAGTGCAGCGGAAGATGGCGGTGTCCTTCCGTCTGACTGTGCCAGTCTTGACCATGGGGTGGGATGCTTATCTGCCGCTTCCAGGAAAACGGAACTTGGTTGGACTTGCACTGTCTTAAAAACCAGTCAGACTCAAGTAGCTAGCACACCTTTTCCTCTTTCCTTTGCCCTCCCTGTGCAATTAAGCATTAGCTGCCCGCAGTTGTATTAGCACAACTGGAATTATCACCACCGATTGTGTGTTTGTGGGTATTTTAACTATTGTGCAGAAGAGGTTTCTAGCCTGCAGCACTTTCCTCTGCCCTCCTGGGCCCTGTTGTCTCCAGCAACATTTTTTCCCCCTGTATGACTACTTGAAGGTACGGAAGCCAAATGCTTTTAGAACTGGCTGTGTTAACATATGCCTGTGAAATCCTGTGTGTCTGCTGATAAGTTCTGTTGAATTTGGAGGGATTTGTACTCCTGAGAAAAGTGTGTATAGGATCGCAGCTGTAGTGAAGGACTGCAATCTACTAGAAGAGAGTTGAACTTGTTTTCAGTTACTGTTTGTTTAATTATTAGATTTACATTCTACCTTTTTTCTTTCAAAGAAAGAAATGTGGCTCTCCCCATTCTCTCCCCACTGCTCTCAAGCTTGTCCCCACCACAACAACCCTGTGAGGTAGGCTGGGCTGAGAGCCTGTGACTGGCCCAGAGTCACCCACTTGGCTCTAGCGGGGACTAGAACTCAGACTGCATGAGTTCCAGTCACATGCTCTTAACCACTACACCATACTGTCTCGTTGGCCCTCACACTGTTCAATGCCAAAGTTTCCCACTGGAAATAGAAGGGACCTTCACCCTCGGTTCAGGGAAGTGTTGATAAAGTTTGGGAAATGGTACTAAATGGAGAGATCTCATCTATCATGAACACCAGGTATTTGTAAAAAGGGAAATGTCATCCTGTCACTAGCTCTCTTGATCCTGTGCTTTGCAGGAGATCAAACACGACAGGTGTTAGTGGCTGATTTGTTTCAGTTGTCATTTTTAAATCAGGGCTTGTGTTTTCTTTTGCATTATATCTTCCCAGCCTGATGTGAGTGGCCATAGTAGGCTCTGGACTGAACGATCACATACGTCATGTCACTGAAATGTGGAACATGAATTTGGTGGCCATCTGGCCCCTTCCACTGAGTGGGACCCCAGACTCTGCCCCAAAGTCATGGAGGTGCTCCTCAGGAGTAGACATAAATCTTGTAACTGGGACCAGTTTCTTCCATTTTCTTTTGAAGCCCTTTTTGTGCTTCATAGATTTGGTCCTGAAGTGTTTTAGGGTACAATCCTGTGACTGTTTGAACAGGAATGCTGACTGAAAATTGAGGGACATTTCTTGTTCAAGGTGGCACTTCCTGTGTGTTCATTCATGGCCTTATTTAAATGGCCTTCTCTCCAAATTATATTTCATGTCTATGCCTTCCCGTAGCTAAAGCTCCTGAACTTTGCCACAAGGAAAGGAAACCTCTCTCCAGAGATGAAAAGTTTGGAAATTTCTGCATTCCTCACTGGGCATTTGGATTATTCTGAGAAGTAACTTATGAATATAAAGAGCAGATACCTAGAAGTTTTTCAACCCTGTTCAGACTTTTCTTATGCACAATTTGTGTGATCACGCAAGCTTCCTTTGTTTGTGTATCTGCATCATGAAGCTGAATCTCAATCCATTATGCAAAATACATTTAATATTTTCTCTAAGAATTCCTGTTTCTGAAAGTCTTTTACTTCTGCAATGAAAGAATTTATCACACAGTTTGTAAATATTGCATAAGGTACCGATAACATTTAGACCATTTTAAAACTGTTTCTCTAGTCTGATGATCTTGCCTTTAAGTCACACACAAAGGCATCATTACTTATCAAGGTATCAGGCAGAATATGCTGATCTAGAAGTAGAGAAGGCATTTATTTGATAAATTATTCCCCCCTCCACCCCCACTACCCCTCAAAGTCATCTTAGTCATCTCATGGGATGGCTCCTCTCCTTTCCTCCTCCTTTCGCACTTCATGGGCGTCCTGCCTCAACGAAACCCTGAGGCCTGGTCCACCCACCGAACTCTGCTTTAGCTTTGCCAGAGATGATATTCCATTTATTTGAAAACAAAAATGAACCTTAGCCTCAGGATATATGCACTGTGCGCAGCTCCCTGAAAGCTGAGACAGGCTAAAATTCGGCGTGAAATTCTGCTGAAACTGCAGCCCAGCTCTGCAGCTTCCTACCACCATGTCCAAGATGGAGCATCCAACTGGGGAAAGCTATTTTATTTTTAGAGAAATGTTGCATGTCTGCTTTGCAGAAAAGATGCTAATATGTGTGTGGCTTTTGT